TTATGGTATTGAAATTACTTTCAGTATTAATAGTAGTCCAAAAACCGACAATAATGGTGTCTAGAGTTTATAATTGTTATCATATGTTTTTAGAAATTAATATTGCACAAATTGGTACCCACTCTTTAAGTGCGATAGTATGTTTCTTTTTTTTAGTTTCCGATCTTGTAAGAGTCAGGTCTCAGTCGCTATTGATACAGCTAATGTTCTACAGCAGATAGTAGTATCACTATTCCTGCAGCACGGTGAGTTGCTTGCTCATTTTAATATATTATATTTAATAATTAATAATACAAAATAATTTTAGGACAGGCATGGCTTTGTTATTTACTTAACACTAATACTGCATTTGATCAATAACGAATGCTGAAATCGTTTGAAACTAAATCAGAAAGATGGGAATAAGACTATAACTAAATGACATTTTGACTGATTGATAGTAAGAAAAATAATGAATGAATTACTCTTTCGAAAATCGTAAAAATTAATATCTTCATTTTATTCAAAACGTGCAGTGCAGCTATCACATTCTTAGGTGTATAGCCTTTCTGGCTATATACATCTACTTAATTTATGAGTAAATTTAATTAATCAACTAGACTGTTATAACTAATGGTAATCTTTGTAACGTCTGTTGATGACAGGTGCAGCCTATTCATATTTCGTAGAATGATAAAGTCTCATATCTTAGTTAATGTCTCCAGTTTTCTAGAACAACTAGTTGCGTCCTACAAAAATATATACGTCTAAAATTTTGTTATTTTAATTTTCATCTATAGATCTGTCTTATACTAGTATATCACTCTAATTTTACTTTCTTTCGTTTCTTTTCTATTGACATGTCGGTTGCTGTTTTATAGCCTACTATAAAATCGCCTGCATGATCACAGTTACATATGTGAGTGTAAAATATATCTGAGTATTTCCAACAGCGTTCGTGTTATATTTTGAAAATATCTCGAAATGATGTAGAAAAAATAATCTTTAGTATGTCATATCGCTCTAAAAATACCATATGATGACAGATTTAGGAAGTAATAGCGCACAAATATTAGGACAATAAACCTTTGTGGTTCTCCTACGGATATATAATAATAATAATAAAATTAACTTATATTAAAGTTTTGTTGATGCCACAAATCTGTTTGATTGTTATAGTAACCTAAAACATATTTACAATCTTTCGAGTAGTTTCAATTTCATTCCAAAAAGCCATACAACGAAATTATTTACGAGTTATACAGCACCATTGTGTCCATTTTTAGGGCATATTAAATGCTATGACATAATATTCAAGTATACAGTTAATATTGCTGACTTAATTTCTTCTCAGAGACCTCGTTCTGCAGATTCTGAGTCAATGCAATCGGTGCATCACCAAACGAATTCCATATTCGATACTGCGATGCCGCAAATTCGGTAACTATAGTCAAATTATTATTAATGTTATAAGAAAAAATATATATTTAAAGTTCTAGATACAATATGTTGGCATGAGTTATAAGTATTCAGAATTTTAAAAAGCTAGATGGAAGAACTACTCTATAGTAGTTAGCAAGTTTTTGATGTGAGCCTAGAAAAGACAACTAAATTACCATAATTTGATTTGTAATGAGCGTTCGGAGACGTATTAACAGAATGAGGATCCAGCTGACAACTGCTAAAAGTAAAACTGTTTATCTTAAAGCGAATCTGAAATATAAATTAATAAAAGCAACCAATTCAGTTCAAGCTTCCTAAAATTCTTTTACAATTTAACTATTCAAATTTTTTGTCAAATTTCAAACTTAATATTATCTTATGCTCGTACATACATACAGTATTATTATTTACCTGTGCATAGGCATTTTTTCCGATACAGAATTCATCATCAACATGCACTTTATCAGTTATTTTATTACCAAACAATACAACAGCGTTCAAAGTAGCTTCTAAATTACGCGGAAATTTTGTACCTAAATGGAATTAACAAAATGATAACCATGTTACCAGTCTTTTTTATCTTTACACTAGTTCAATAACTGGATTTAGCCTAAACGATTCATTCGTTGATATTTCATATTTGCAGGTTTTATCTAAACTATGAAATTGTATGCATCAGTGTATACCAATATTCCAGATTATTCTTTTTTTATCTTGAGCAAGCGCTACAGGACCTACATTAGAAGTCCCCGCAGAGACTTCAATTTTTAAAATGGGACCCCTAAATTAAAAAAAAAATGTCATATTTCCACTAAGTAGTATGACAACTGTGATCTAGCTAGTCTAGTGCACTTTATCTTGAAAGCACTTTTGCTTAGCAATAAACAACCTGTTAAATATTGGAATGTAAACTTCGCAATATTCAAACGAATTGGTAACACTCCCATCAAGTTGAAGGTTAAGGGACACTTTTACAACTTGGTCTCCCTAAAAATCAATATAAGTGATATT